AACAACAAACTACAAATCCCAAAATTCCATAGCATGGAGCCATGGCGGTTAAAGCGGTTTCAAACTGGATAATTTGTGCAGTGCAGATCAAGCCTGTGTTTTCATTTTAAAGGTATTGTATTTGGAAGGTAGGGTTTTATATGAAAAACCACATTAAGGAAAGGATAAAGTCTCTCTGTTCAGTGGCAGTCTACCTCAGAGAGGTTGGGGGGATTATCCCACCTAGGTGCCCACAAGTGCCTTTTAAAAGCCCAAAGGCCAGCTAGAAATCACTCTTTGAATCAGGAGCTGAAGGACAGGGCAACGCTTTTGCAAATCTCATGGACTTAATGGGTCGCTCTAACTGGGACAAGCAGATAGCCCAAAATGCCCTTTTAAAAGCAACTTTGCAAAAGAGCCAGAAAAGGCTTTTTTATGCCAAAACGGTGCTGCTGTTCTAGTTGAAATGTAACTTCTCTATGCCCTGTTTGCAAAGGACAGAGACTAACTTCTGCATGGCTGAGTTACTTCTTTCCAAGCTCTGTATTCGACATAAGGAGGCTGTATGAAGAATTTGTGTCCAGGTGCATTCTACTTGAATGCTAGTTCCTAATAGCGGGCAAAGGGTGGGGAAGAACTGTTCCCAATTTTGGTTCCACATCCCTCTTGGATAGAGATTTAAAAATCCCTTTTGGTCCTGGCTGGCTTTCAGTGCCAGAACTGCACTTGGAATGGGACACCAAAGGGTCATTTAGACCAACCCTCTTTGCCAAGGTGGGAATCCACAGCTACAGCACCCTGAAGCCCACCTCCCTTTGGAAACCTCCAGCAAACCTTCCTCATTCTCTCTAGCTGCTCCTCAAGTCTTTGGATCAGGCCGTCTGCAGGCCAGTTGCTGCCTGAGGCTGGAGTGGGGGACACACAGGGGAGGCACATTTCTCAGCATACAACAACACAACATGTCCTCTGCCGCTTCCCACCCCCCAGTGCCAGCCTGCTCTGCCGAGCGAAGAGGACATGTCATGAGTGATTTCCATCATGCCACCAAGTGTGGATTCAGACAGAGGAGCGTGCTGAGTGGAAGCCGCCAGCATCTCCCCCCCTCTGCCTTACCCAGGGAAATGCCAGGCCCAATAACCGTGATGCCCTGTCCTCACTGGAACCCAGGGCAAAGCAAAGGGGGCGGCTTAACCTTTTCGGAGACAGGATGCACAAGGAACCATCTCTCGGGAAGAAAAGGATCAGGGTCCACCCTGTTGGATGAGCTGATGGAGGCTGGTATGGTGCCCAGTGGGGCCTCCTGCAGCATGCCATGTCACTTGGCTCCTGTCCTTGGCCCTGCCTCTGAAAAAGGAGGCTCTGCATAGTTAATAACACCACCACTGCAAACCACCTCTGCCTTTATGCTTCACTTGCGCATCCCACCATGGCTGACAACCCACCAAATTCAAATCCCATTGATTCCATGTGTCTGCTCTGGTTGGGGTTCACAACAGGGGTTGTGGGGATGGGGGGGCCTTGCTTTCCCATTGCCACCCCCATCTGCCTTAACCACAGGCCAGAGTGTTTGTCCAATCTGACCAGAGCTTTGAAACATTCCGCCCTTTTTTGTTTTGGATTAGAATCCCCAGAATCCCCCAAACATAGCCAGTGGGCAACTGTAGTTTTTCAAAAGGAGATTTAAAGGGGAGGGGGGGCAGGAGAAGGTAAGCCTTGAGCCCCAAAAGATGCCCTCTTCCATGCCACGCTGGGCAGTGTTGGATCTGACTTCAGTACTGGTCATAGCAGGATGGAGGGTGGTCAGTTGGGGGGCTCAGGAAGGGAGGGCCTGATGCAGATGACCATGCATTCACTGCCTGAGGCTGGACTGACAGGTTCGGGGCCCAGGAACCTTGCAGCCTTGCTCTCCTTTTCCATATCCCACCAGTGAGTCTTTTCTTTGGGCACTTTCTAGTGAATGCCTTTGTTGGACTACACCTCCCAGAATCCTCCCGCCAGGGTGACCCCTGGAATTGTCCCAAGCTCTGGGAGGAGGAGGAGGAGGAAGAGGAGGAGGAGGAAGAGGAGAGAAGGGGCATTTGCGGTCCTTCCACCATGGGCTCCTTCCCTCCCAGCTTCACAACAGCCCTGCAAAGTAGGCCAGGCAGGGAGAAAGGGAGCTCTACATGGAATGAGGCATAGGAACCCCTTGTGGGTTCTCCCTGAGCTGGATTTAGGGAGGACAGAGGACTCCTTAGAATAGATCCCCAAGGTTGGGATCTGGTGGGACAGCAAGACCCAGCAGCAGAGCCAATGGGGGGATGCTGGGAGGGGCATTCCATCCACACTGACCTCTACCTTTCTCTAGGGTCAGGCACTGAAATCTACCTCCCCCATACCCCATCCACAGGGGAAAGGAGTGTTCCTCAGATGGGGCGGGCGGGGGCCAGGGAGGAGGTGACCAAGGGGGTCTCTCTCCCTCCCCTGCCCTGCCCGGCTCAGGGGCGCCCCCCGATGGC